CCCCCCCCCCCCCCCCCCCCCCCCCCCCCCGCCCCCCCCCCCCCCCCCCCCCCCCCCCCCCCCCCCCCCCCCCCCCCCCCCCCGCCCCCCCCCCCCCCCCCCCGGCGGGCGGGGTTAATATAGTTAGAGGCTAAGTTTTCGGAAGCGGTTTTTTGCGACGAATCCAATGGCAATCTCAGAAATTCTTGAAAGTTTTCTTAAACTGAAATAAGTACCGATTCTGGTTTTGAAAAACTTGAAATTAATTTACATTAATTTTTTTGTAATTTGTAAACATTAATTTTGGGTACAAAATTCGTTTAGATTAATTTTTGATTTGAAATTAATTTTAGCAAATATTTTCTAAATTAATTTAAATGAATTAGTTATTACAAATTTATTTAAATTAATTTATGAACAAAAATTAGTGGACATTAATTTTGTTTAAAGTACTTTAAAGAAATTTGAAACTACAAATTAATTTAAACCAATTTGCAGTCGTAAATTGATGTATGTTATCTTTCGTTAAAGTGCTTGAAACAAATTTTTGATTGAAAATTGATTTAAATTAATTTCGATCAACAAATCCTTTTAGATTGGCTTAAAGAAAAATAATGTACATTGATTTAATACTGAAAATTAGTTTAAATTAATTTATAGACTCAAATTTCTTTGAGGTACTTTAAACAAAATGAATGTCTACTGATTTCTGTCCATAAACTACTTTAAGGGCCCCCCTTCCCAGAAATCATCTCCGGCACCGTACATCCGATCCTGACGAAACTTTCCGTAAATGTTCGGCACAATAAGTTACGAGAATGAAAAGATTTTTTTGTCTCTAAGTCTTACGGTTTAGGAGTTTTCCAGAAATCAAGGTCCAAAAAGGACCCTGAACGCCGTCCCAAGATTTTTTAATATACTTCAAGCTGAAGAGTTCGGGTTTGTTTTATTTTAAACTAGACACCTAACTACATCGACTGACCGGTGCCGATTTTTCAATTAAGCCTTTATTAGTTTTCCAGGCAACCAACAACCTGCGAAATCCGAAAAAGCCTTCCGAATTTTCTAAAAATCCTCAGTTTGACAAAAAACTAAGACCTAATTCAAAAATCGCCGCCGGTCAGTCGATGTATTTTTTCTTCCTCTTTTAAACAAGAAAACAATGAACTCTCTACGACAAACCGCTATTAAAAATCTTGGGACGCACTTCAGGTCTAACTCTTATATAGCCAAAAGGCTATGTTAAACGCTGTATGAAATAGTCGATTTTACGACTTCTAGGAAAATGCCTGTAACTTTTCGATGCAAGGTCATGCAGAGTTGTGCGAAGTCTTATTTTGGTCAGAAACGTTTGCTTTACAAAGCTGTGTTTTCAGAAAAATTTTAATTGCATAAGTATCCAGGAAAAAACCATTATTTGAAGACCCGTTGTTTCGAGGCTCTTAGAAAACTTGTTCAAAATCCCGGAAAAACCACTTTTGTAACCAAAACCAATACAGATTCTGGAAGTAGACACTTCAGACTATTTTTTCATGTGCGTATCTCAAAACCGATTTTTTGACCGAAAAGCACCATTTCTGAGGGCGGGGGGCCCTTAAATCAATTTGTAATAACTAATTCATTTAAATTAATTTAGAAAATATTTGCTACAATTAATTTCAAATCAAAAATTAATCTAAACGAATTTCTGTACCCGAAATTAATGTAAATTAATTTCAAGTTTTTCGAAACCAAAATACGTACTTATTTCGGTTTAGGAACATTTTGAAGAATTTCTGAGATTGCCACTGGAGTCCTCGCAAAACGTTGCTTCGGGAAACTTAGCCTCTAACTATATCAGATATACGATGGCGACTTGGGATTTTTCGATTGAAAATGCCGTCCTCACGTACTTTTTAAGGTAGATCCTAAATGAATGTTTGCCCTTTAACCCGTTCATTCCCAATGTCTGTTTAGACAGACATGAGTTAAATTTATTTATAAGTCGTAAACTACGCAAGACATTAACAAGCGCTTTTCAACATTCGATAGTCAATACTGTAAGCTATGTTTGTATAGCAAAAACTGGTTTCTGAAAAATTTCAAAGATCGGATTTTCAAAGAATCTCTGGAAACCACTTTGGTATCTCTTAAAACTAAAACGGCAATCTATCGATTTTTTTTCATACGTAGATAGCCCACAGTGTCCTGTTTAAAATGGAAATTAAGCGAACTGTTAATTTGTTGTGATTTAGGCGTGGTATCGCATTTCCTAGAATGCCCCAGGATCAATATTTCGTTAGATGTAGTAGTCTCAAAAACAAATGGAAACATAGCGCTAATCGACTACGCTGAATCTTCTGACAATATTTGTTTTTCAAAACAGTTCCAGAAACTTAGTGAAAACGTATATTAGGTGAAGTAACCTATTTTTGAATAAAATTAAAAATTTCATAACCCATCTCAGTAAAAAATACATATAGAGCAGGTAAAATAGAGTACATCTTGATGTTCTGACGTAATTTGGATGGATCTTGACTGGATTATGAAATTTTTAATTTGACGCATAACATACAATTTTTTTTTAACCACTGAAGAAGAATTTGAAACAGGTCAAGTTAATTACTAATCAACCATCCCCAGTGACAATGCAGAAGCGTCAAATGGCCGAACAATTAGCAGATACAATTGCATTACTTTCAAAAGGGCCACAATTCAAATTGTCTTTTAATTCATTTTTTTGATCTAGGCATGTCGAAAAACTGCTTCACTCGCGTAAAAGATTTTTGTAACAAACTATTGTCTCCGTCAAATTCAAATCTTTAGCTCTTCTAAGGACTGAAAACAATGGAATATTCTAATTTGGCACGTTCGATAACCTAGAAAACAGTATTTTTATCGCACAAAACGCATAAGTGAGAAAACGTGTTTTCCTTGGTGTAGTTTTAAGTTTTAGTCTTTCAAAATCCGCTCAAAACCTCCTCTAAGACCTTGAAAGACAGTTTTACGTGGGTTTCGCGTGATGCTCTTTCATATTCATGGGTCAAAAATTTTTTGCGGATGGCTTTTCGACCCCAAAATCCGGGATTTCAAAAACCGGATCTTTAAACTAAAATTGGATTCAAACCAATATAATATTCGGAATCAGGACACTCGATTACCTATTGCCCACTAACTTTTGGGCCAAAAGCTTCTGGAAAGTTGGGGGCTTTCCCTCGTTAGTCTGCTGGAGGCTTACGGTAGCAACAACACAAAAAAACGTTAGAAGAATGAATAGTTAAAGATAAAAGAACACACTCAAGGATCATCGGCGCAGTAAGATACAAATGAAAAAGGAATAGAATCAGAGATGTATACGGCGAGTCCCCCTTTTGGATTAAAGACGTCTAGTTTTTCACGGTCCCTCCTGCACAATGAATAACCGCTAACACTGACCTCACTTTCGCCGATGGCATTACTTAATCAGTCAGTGAACTACGGACACACAAGCAAGCAAACAGACAATTTACGTTTGCTAGACTCTTTACGAGAAAAGAATATGGTGTCTTCGAAGAGCCATGTTGACAAACATGTCTATTTTAACCTGTTAGAGAATGATTTGCATCATTCTCTTTCTATGATACATACAACAGCTTAGTCTGTCATTATCATCTTTCTACTTCGTCATCACAATGTTTTATAATCTTTCCAGTTGCATCAGTTTCTCTGTGTGATACCTTCCGGTTATCGTTGACCTCTACCTTTGTTCATAGACGGTACATATAGTGCTGATTTCTTTTGAACAAATGATCTGTCTCATCCAGTATTACTCTTCTCCATCTTATCATCGGTGTTAGTCACCTAGAGAGATCCAATCTTTGGAAAAGACTACATAGTCACACAGTCGTACTCAACGTGTTGCCTTTTTCGATAAACAGATAACCTAAACAGAAAATGCTTATTTGTCCAATCAATCGAAAAGTGGCATTCCTCCAGCAATACAATAATCCAATATTATTGCTCAGGAAAGCTTCACTAAAAGTAATCGACAGTGAGAAATTTAAACCCACGGTGAGCTTTTATATTTCTAATTTGCTGAATGCTTTTCCATGACATAGTAGTCCAGTAAATCAACTTAGAAGTAATGGTTACCGATCAAATGATATTTTCAATAAAATGAAATCAAAGATAGAGTTCACGTAACATTTTGGCTAAAATCTCATATGAAAAGACCGTAGTATCATAAAGTGAGCTGTTCAAAAGAAAAAGATAAAAGCATTTGATACACGAATTATAGTTAAGTGCCATCAATGACGTCTCAAATCGATGGAACGATCAACTTGAAGATAGTTTTTGAGTTATTTTATACACCTCAGGGAAAATATATTCACTTTTTTAATCGAAGTTTTGTGCAACAAAATCCGATTGAGATCAGCCGATGTTTTTCACTGGGACAAAAGCTACTGCAGAAAACTTTTGAAAGGATCATATAAACGCTTTCTATGGCTTCATAAGAACACTTTTTAAAATGAACATTGAGGCGATAATGGCGGTTCGCAGGGATATCGAAGACTGACTTAAAGCTAAATTTGGAACTTCATATGAGAAAGAAACACAATGCATTTTTTTCAATGCTCGATCATACGGATAACTGAAAGCCCATTTTGAGATTTACACAAAAATTATTTATTTGAATACGGTGACATTTTTCAAAAAAGTATCAGCGAATTCATTGAACAAGTCCTGGCTGTTAAGATAACATGCTTCTTATTCATACTTCCAATACTAGTAATGGTGCATCAGTTATTCCATAGCAATGTTCTAATGAGAGACGTTTAGTTAATGGATTATACAAAGGTCTGTTTGGACTTGAGAATAAACGTGTTAAACGATGGGTATGAAATGCATACAAAGCAGTGCTTAGAGGAATCGTAAAATGATGTTTTGGTATACCACGTAATGAATAACTCTCATTATGATCAATAGTAATATCATCTGTTATGCTTTTTGACTCTTCATCGGGTTGATGATTCATAATATATTCCATTTTTTCTTTATCATCATAACCATCATCATCATCAGTAGGAGTAGTATTAGGCTTAGTGATTTTCGTCATGTGTTGATGTCGTAGTTGTGTTATCACTGATGTTGGTAATGTCTTAGTCGAAACATTTTCATCACTTGTAAATTTATATCCTAATTCATACCATTTCTTTTGTGTTGCATAATGATGCTGATTATGAAAATTAAAGTTTAAGAAGAACAGAGAATGAACTAGTCGAGGAAGAAATCGAATCATAATTGGAGTTTGTAAGTTTGTGTCCCATTCTATGGAATATGTATGTAGCATATCATACGTTTTAGATAAATATTTTGTTTGTGTACCAACGGCTATCAGTTCATAATCATGGCTAAATGTATCTGTAAATCTCATAATTTGAATACTAATTGAATATGCAATTAAATAACAAATTAATATTAATGGACCATTGCCAAAATACCAGAAAAAAGAAAAATATAATAATCGTATGCTAAGAATAACAATTGTTCTATGTTGCATAAAACGTCTCTGCAAACGTCTTTCCACCATGGTGACAAAATAGAACGCCAATGAAGCATATAGGCATGCAGTGGAAAATACACATATTCACATACTGATAGCGTATATCTAACAGTATCATATTTTTCAATCCATGCTAAAAATTTACCCATAACATCATATTCTACCTTACGAACATGGTGATTAATATGTTGCATTTTTAACTCTTCAAATGGCCAATAACATGCACCATTTAACCAATCCATTAAATGTCCAAATAAAAGATTTAATTCAGTTTTCTCAAACACAGAATTATGGCATAATTCATGATGCATATAACCAGACCATGTCAAGACATGTGCCAGAAGACAGGTACCGATTGTCAAATAGAGTAGAGTATAATATTCATAGCTAAATGAATTACAACTGTTTAGTAATAATATAATGCTCATGATATAACCAGTTATAATGTAGATTAATACTATCAGACTTGGTAATGCAACCATTATCGTCAACAATAATCTTGAAGAAGAAATATAAAACATATCCAATCAGTGGATGGTCCAGATACAATGAGCCTCACATGAGAAAACATTTATAATCGATCGATCATTTTTTGGTACGGATTCTGTGTATAAGGCAAGGAAGAAAAGTGAATCCTAGGATCTGTAAGAAGTCATTAGAAAATGTCAAAGTGTAAAAAACAGAATCTTTGAACATCCTTTGTGTAATATGCGTGATATTTTAGACTTTACTTTTTCGAGTAGAAAATATGTTTTTGACCTCATACTTCCAAAACTTCCTAATCATAAACCGATTTGTCTGTCGATAAAATCGATTTTTCATGAGCTTAACGATGAATTATATCAGTTATACTCAGTTTTTATAGGCTTGCGACTAGTACTATTCTTATGTGAACAAAAATCTCAAACTATGAAAACAACGAAAACTCGCTTAGAATTTTCTGCTTCTGAACTTCTGAAGATCGTGTATTTGATACTATGCTATCAGAAAATTAACAGACAATGATTCGCTTGCTTAATAAGGTATCGAGGTTTAATCAATGACATTACCAGCCATATATTCAAAGTTAGATTGATTGAAATATACGGGATTGAAAAAGAAATTTCAACTATCACGAAACTTTTTGTTAGGGTGGTATATATGGAGAACACCTTTCTCTTACTTGTTCTGTTATTTGATATAAATATCAAATTAGTGCAAAGAGAGAACGAGAAAGCAAAACAATCAAATATGGGAAAAATCGCATCTTTGTGCAAAGAGACAAAGAGGAAAAACACAATCCAAGTGGGTTAATAACCAATTTTTTATTCCTTTTTGTGTGCGAAGATAGACAATTGCTAAGCTGACAAACATTTATTTTCGTGAGTCACAAGTTACGCGTCAACTGCTTCGAAGGACAGCATAAGAAAAAAGGAAAAAAAGGAATGAGGGAATGAAAACACGTATGCAACTATTTGATATCGTTCGATCGTTTTACTACGAGAGTCACTTTCCTCAGCAGTGAGCTGCTAAGTGAAAATACATTAGAGGTAACTATTGTTTTTGTACATTTTTGCAGTTGACCGGTAGAATAACAGAAAGGAGAAGACCCAAAATATTGTCTATGATATTATAAAAATATTCTGCACTACACATGTTTTGCAGAAAGTTGCTGTTAGTTTAGTCCAATTTCTGACTAAATCATGCACTTTACAGTAAAATCAGTACGATATTTGAAATCAGCATAATTTTTTTCATATTGACAGAGTGACGCACAGGTAAAAATCCCAAAACAATAAAACTATAAAATTCACAAAATTAAAAAACGTAGTTTTAACTTAAAACTTCATGTTGAGGCTGAATATGTGATCTGTTCTTCAAAATCTTGAAAATATTTGTCGAAATTTCAGAATGTACGAGCAGGAGAAAAGTTTCGGATTTATCAGTTTTTTTATCAATAACTCAGGACAGTCTTGATCAATCGGTCGTACCTTCGAATTCGACTTGGGATACTAATTTCGAGGTCCAGCGGATTCCTTTCAGAATATTATGTATACCCCCAACTGTCCTCTATTGGGTGGTGAAATCTGCAGGTCGCTATGGCTTTCCGCTCAAAAGTTACACGCTTTTCTTCCGCGTGCCTTCGATAGTAGTACATCGACAAGGATCTGATCGTTGCGGTTGGGAATACAAAAGTGACAGTGCATCGCTCACGATGGAGTCTACCGTCGCATACTATAAGTCATGAATGAAACTCTGTCAACTTTAAATAAATGAACACTTCTTTCTGTGCACACAGTTTCCGGAACAAAAGCCATCAATCAGATATGGAAGTGGTTCGGTTTCGACCTTTCAACGACTCCGTCGGTTCGATTGAGTATTGGGGTTTGTCGCTATGAGTTCGCACGATCAGGCCAAATTTAATGAAATCTGAGCATTGTATCACTTCTTTCCTACAACCGTTTTCGACTATCGCTTGTTTCTGCTTCTGCAAAAACACTGACCGAAGCCTGTCACCAACAATCATATACAAAACTCCGTTGAATGCCGCCAACCCAACAACAAAGCACTTAAACTATATATTACTTTAGCGCATTAAGCAATTAGCCAAGATAGCACTTTTCCAAAAATAATCGATTTATGTTGTTCGGATCTCCTCTCTATGTAAACGTAAAACGGGTAGGAGAAAGAAATGACACCCCCACTTTGGAATTCATTTTACCACATGCACTGGCTAAGTGCATAGTGAAAACAGCTAATTTCAATTATACCCATGCAACAGATTGAAACCGCAAGTGTGGATACTAACAATATGAACCTGAAATCGGCGACGCAACCTGTCTATCAGATCAAATCAATTTTCCTCCCTTCCATTTCTTCTCACTACAAATTCATTCTTCCTTCCTTTTCTTCTTTCGCTTAGATGCAATCAAGGAACAACAACTGTCAATGACTGCAGCCAGTATGTATTGGCTCGATGTTCTTCATGACTGTAAACTAGATCGATCTCTACCATTACCATTCGATCGATATCGTCTATCGATATCGTCTATCTGATGAATATCGAACAGGTCATGGAACATCTGTCACATTTCAATTTGGAGAACAACTTTCACACTCATTTTGTCATTATGCAACATCAAAACATATATCACTAGAATACTTGTCACTCTCTACTTATTTTGCTTTCTTGTTCAAGTTAACCAATGGAGAAAGAGATTTATGTATTGGAATGAATGTAGATGGTCGATACAAACAAGAATTAATGTCAGTCATTGGAATGTTTGTCAATGCTATTCCTTTGCGATGTCAATTAGATCCCCACTGGTCTTTTCATCAACTTGTTGATCATGTTTGTGAAATAATGAGCAAAAGTTTGGAATATTCTTATTTTCCTCTTCAATCTATTCTTGCTCAACAACCAAATGCAACAAAGGCTACATTTCTTGACACATCATTTGAATTCCTTTCCAATGAAAATGAGAATGTTATGAATGAAGTGATGATTGGCAACAGTGAACTTCATATCATACCTCTTTCAATCAAGATCAGTAAAGATGAAATCATGAGTAAATTTGATTTCTCACTCCCTATTCAACATGATGTGAATATCGGTCATTTATCATGCACAATCAATGCATCACTTGATTTGTTCGATATAAAGACTATTGAAACAATTGCACATCGATTTCAATCCATGTTAGAACAATTATTTATCTGTTCGATCGATGATGATAATGATCAGATGATGAAACCAATCTATGAATTATCATTATTATTATCAAATGAAAAACAATTCATTCAATCAATGACAAATACACAAATATCATTTCCTTCTGTTAAATGTATTCATCATGAATTTATCGCTCAAGTGATGAAATATCCTCAAAAAGTAGCGGTTGAATTAGATGAACAATCACTCACATACAGTGAACTTTTCTATTATGTACAAGTGGTTGCATTAAATCTTCTAAATAAACATGAAATAGTTCCAGGTGAGATTATTTGTCAATGTGTAGAACGAAGTTTATCAATGGTAAGTTGTAATAATTGTTGCGAGTCTTGGATTGAATATTACTATTCATTAGGTGATTGGAATCATGGCAATCGAGATGATTGGTGGTGTATATTGTCCTTTATCACCTCGAGATCCACAACATCGTTTGTATGCACTTTTGGAACAAACTCAATATCGTCTTCTTCTTCTTCATCCTCTTACACAATCTAAATTCAATGATGATATCATCTGGACAGATCTCGATCAAATACTGTTGGAGAATGACGTAGCTGAAGATATAGATGTTGATCGATTATCACACATAGAAATAACACGAGATAGTATAGCCTATATCATTTTCACAAGTGGTTCAACTGGAGTACCCAAAGCGGTGAGTAAAGCAAAGGAATATTTTCAATATTGAATATAAATGGATCGTTTCTTTTTGTTGATGAATAGGTTCAAGTTGGACATCGAAATTTTATGAAATGCATGCAGTCATTGATTCATATAAATGTTTTTACTCGTCATGATACTGTTCTGGAAATGGCAAGCTGTTCATATGATGTTCATGTGCAAGAACTTATCGGAACATTGATGATTGGTTGTAGCATCATAATGATTCATCCTGAAGGTAACATGAACATCGATTATTTGCTTCATGTGTTGAAGGAGAAAGAAGTTTCATACATGCAAAGTGTTCCAGCATTTTTGGATTACATAACCAGTTTCTTAACTGAAAACAACTGGTCGAAATTGAGTGCTTTACGAACTCTGGAACTTGGTGGTGAGTATCTGTTTACGTGAGTTAAAATGTACCAAAGTGTCTTTTATAGGAGAAGTTTGTTCGATTAGTCTTATAAAGAAGTTGTGCAATCGTTTATCTTCGAAGACTCATCTATGGAATACTTATGGGCCCGCAGAAACAACAATTTCCGGTACTTATTATCTTATCGACATGAAATCCATCACAGATAGTGTTCCGATTGGTCGACCACTTCCAAATTACAAATGCTTGATTCTGGACGAATACTTTCAGTGTGTGACAATCGGAGAAGAAGGCGAATTATTTGTTGGAGGAGTAGGTGTCTTCGCTGGTTATCTTGGTCGTGAAGATTTGACAATGAAAGCACTCATCGAAATTAATGGTGAAACATTCTATCGAACAGGTGATCTTGTTCGAATGGATGACAATGGACTTATTCATTACATCGGACGAAAAGATCATCAAATCAAACTGCACGGACAACGTATTGAATTGGGTGAAATCGAACGATGTTTGCTGAATACATCGATCTCTGCTTGTGTTGTCATAAAATGGGGTGATGATCATTTAATTGCTTATGTACAATCTTCAGACATGAATGAAATACAATTACGTGAACATTGTCAAGCTCATCTTCCACCGCACATGATTCTATCAATGTTCATAGTACTCGAGCACCTACCTTTGAGTGCTAGTGGAAAAGTAGATCGAAAATGTCTACCTTCTCCGGATTTTTCCGCTTCAGAGAATGGGAAACATTTTGATTCTGAGCGGGTAACACCACTTGAAGATCATTTACGTCGTATTTTTAGTGACGTATTTCACAGTAAATCGCCGAACTTGGATACATCTTTCGGGCAGATGGGTGGCACATCTTTGGATGCTAAAAAGGTGGTACGAATCATTCGACAAGAAATATATAGTAAGGCGAATGCCGCTCTTTTATTTTCCAATCCATCCATTCGACAACTTGCGCGTGCAATCGAACCGTTATTATCCGACAGTAATGAATCCTCCAACATACCGACGATTTTAGGATCCGAGGATGATCAACGACGAGCAATGCCATCTTTGTGCATTGAAATACCAGGCGTTGTATTACTCATTCTTCTTTGGTTATGGCCCATATGGATGGCATGCAGATTGAATTCTTTTCTCCTGATTGCTTTCATGCATCTCTTGCACCTCTTATCTTATGTTGTTTGTCAACGTCTTTTGTTTATTGGTCAAGGAAAAGAAAGTACCGAAGGCGAGTTGTACTCATGGAACTATTATCGTTGGTGGTTTCTAAATAGCTTGTGGTTGAACAATAATTCTTATTGTTTAAGACATTTGTTAGGTACACCATTTTACAATTGTTTTCTTCGATTATGTGGAGCTCAAATTGGATGGCATACACATATTTATACAACATTGATCGACACTCCTTGGTTGCTGGAAATAGGTGAATCAACATTGATTGGCGAAGAAGTTATATTGTCAAGTTTATCTTACCAAGATCGAGCCTATAAACTTCAACGAATTTCCATCGGATCACAATGTTCGATCAGCACGCGTTGTGTACTATATGAAGATGTTGTTATAGAAGATCATGTGTTCGTTGAGCCCATGTCTGCTATCACAGGTCATGTTGCAACAACGAATGATCATACAATCATCAGAAATCGCTCATTATCATTAAGTAATATAATATATCAACTATTTTGTCTATTCTGTCTTCTGTGTATTCATGGTACACTTCTGTCATTCGTCTGTTTCATATATCATGGTTGTCTGACTTTGTCACTGCCATGTTAGTCTCGCCTTAAGCTGGTTGATTTGGTCGTTAACAAGTCTTTTTATTGTCTTCTTCTTATTGAAATTTATTGTAGGTCCTGTGACGCCAGGACATTGTTCGCCGAATTCTTATTATTACTTGCATAAAGTATGGTTACGTCAGTTGACCATATCATCATTTCATTATTTCTTGGGATTTTTACCATCATATCAAGTTTTATCAAGTATCATTCTACGTTGGTTAGGTGCTGATATCGAGGAAGACATTAGATTCGCTGAATTTCAACAGATATTAAATTTCCCATCCAATCTTCTTAGCATTGAGCATGGTGTGACAATATTTGGATATGCTGCGCTTGCTCCATTCCAGTTGACGAAAGAAGGTTTCTGTTGTATTGATACAATACATATTGGTTCAGGTACAACTCTTGGTAACTTATGCACACTTATGCCAGGTACGCGACTTTCACCTTCTACAACTGTGGGAAATCTTACTTTGGTAACAAGAGACACAGTTAATTGTGATCGTAATGGTGTATTGCTTGGTATTCCAGCTCATGAAATGCCATTTGGAATGTCTGACATTATTTCTCTTGATAACGGTACATCGTTATCTGGTACCCAGCCTTTTCATACTTTTCTTCTCGCTTGTGTTCATTTCTTTGTGAGCAAATGTCTAATCATCACTCTATATTGTTCATTACCAGTTTCTATTGCATTATTTATTCATACAATTCTATTTTGTGCTGTTCATCGTTATTTGACTTCGGATACTCTGAATCGCAACCAGTTTACATTTTCAGAGATTATAACTCGCACACAAGATTTTTTTCGTGCACTGACGACTGACTTTGATACACTCTTAGCACCATTTATATCAGGAACACAATTATTGGTCTATCTTCTTCGTTCTACGGGTGCTCGAATTGGACGTGATGTCATATTACCCAATATTGCTTGTGTCACTGATGCCCATCTTACCACTATTACAGATCACGTTCGATTGAATTTAGGCGCCTATCTTCAGGTAAGACATGATACATTTTTGTGTCGTTCAATATGTTTATTTTATTGATCCCATTTTATTTTAAGTGTCATACGTTCGAACACCGTTTGTTAAAACTTGCACCTGTTACAGTAAACAATTCATGTGTACTCATGAGTGGTGCTTATATACTTTCTGGATCAACACTTCAAGGACGAAATCACATCTTACCATTAACGCTGGTGATGAAGGGTGATCAACTACCATTTAATACAAACTGGATAGGAGTACCGGCGCAACAAACTAGTTAGAATCCTTGAGAACAGCTGCCGTAAACGTTTTCGATTCAGTTACGGATCTCATCAGACGGCTTAAGAACAATTTCGATCTAATTTAATAAATCAAAATCAAGATCTCTAATTCATAATTGTTCGATATTACATAATAATATTTTATAGTATGTTAATTTTGATTACAATATTCGAGTGATTTGTAGTTGGATTAGTTGTAATTCAGACTGATTAATATGTTTGTGATAATAATTGACTTAGTTATAAATTATTTGTAGTTATCTGAAGATTGGATAGGGCGTTAGATACTCGATATAGCTGAGTGGATGATCTTACCTGATGGTAGGCATTGAATAGAGTATTTCCATTTTTTATTGTGAGATGTAAAGATATAGCAGGACCTTGAATGTATTTTGTGTTTGTTTTAAATGAACGATATTAATACGTGTGATAAGTGTGGTGGATAGACGACGAATTGACGAAGATATTGTTATTCTTTCTGATATAGTATTAGTAGAGAAGATATTGGAAGTTGTATTGTGATATAAATATACGATACACATGTGGTTGTAATTGTTGACTTAATGATGAAAGAATACTGGAATATATGGTTTTTGAATAATATGAAGTGTTTTTTTCTTGTTTTTTTATACTACGTAGTGTGATAATAATTAATTGATGTTGTTATGATAAAGACATTGTTGAGTATTATAGATGTAATAAAGAAGTTGGTTAAGTAGCCAAAAATATAGTAGATGGAGAAGAAGTAAGTTACTTGTTGTGTTTATCGGTCGACCAGTTGCCGAAAAAAATGAGTATTATGAAGATGGTAGTAGGTAGGTATATATTTGTATAGTTACGGTCTGACTAGAAGGAGATGAGAGGTGAGACCTGGAACTATTCTCAGTGGCATATGTATCCTATTTCGGGATAAATTCCAATGATATAGATTGTTGTCTACTGAATGCCACTTTTGAAAATGCGCGCAACAATGCAACTGTAAAGAAATAGCAGTTCACGTGTCCTTAAAAAATTATATTGTCTGATATGCAGCTAGAAAAGATTTCAGTTATCCTCATGATATGCAAGAATGTTATTATTCTTTTCGTAACGAAATGACTAATGAAAAACAGATAGTTTAGTTTGCCAAGGAAAAAAGAAGAGAAGTCTCATTCTTGAATAATTCAATATGATAGTCGATTTGTTATTACTGTTTATCAATTACTGGGTCTAAAAATTCTTTAAGATTGCATTAAGAGAGACTTGAAATCACTATTAAAATGAAGATTATTAAGTCTTTTTGTTGTTGTTATGGTTCTAATTGATCGATAGATTAGTAGTAATATAAGTATGATTGAGAGATTAGTTATTATAATGCGTTTCCGACTTCGAGTGTGAGTCTGTTAAATATTGCAAATTTTCTTGGTATTATACGATGTAAGGTAGGATTTGAGAATAAGTGTTATATCTAGAATAATATGAAGTATAAGTATGTTATATTGATAAAGAAGAAAAAATTAAATGAACTCTAAATAGATAAATATGGTCTACTTTGGTTTGATTCAAGAATTACGAATATTAATAAATGAAATGAAGAGAAGAAGAAAAAACATGCTCATAAATATAGTTAGGCAAGTAATTGATGAGTTGATGACAGAATTTTTTATCATTTTTGATTGTAGGTTTTTATGAATTTTTGTTATTATTGATCAGTTGTAATTCTTAAGGTCGAAGCTCTTTTTGTTTTTCTTTGTCTTTCTAGTCAAGAAAGATTGAAAATATATGTTTACTGATACGATGATTTACCTAAGGGTGAGGATAGCTACCATGATCTATAAAATTTCATCCCGGCTAAGAGAATTCATCAGATGGTATGGTAATATGTGGAAGTAATAAGGTTATCTGGAAGTAGAAAAAGAAATAGTTTATTGTTTAAGGGAAGGAAAAGAATGTAGTTATATATATTGTGTTTTTATTAGAATATTGGGTAGGAGTGAACGAAAAAGAAAGAACAGATACAGAAGTTCAGATTTAGGTGTTTCACCATTGTGTCCTTTGGTTTCGACTGTTATACATTGTTGATGATGATTAGGAGTATATTCATGTGGTTAGATCAGTTGGTAGCAGTTCGTACAATGTTTGGCTGTTTTTGCTTTTGTTGTTCTATTCAATGATAAAGCAAAGTAAGTGTAGTTGGTTTTGTCAATATGTATTTAGAAGTGGGTAGTTTATTAATACTTACTATGAGTTGATTTATTTTGTAATAATCGTTTTGTAGGTCATTTTCGTATAAGTTCATTCTTTGCATCTCGACGATTACGGTTTCCAACAATTATTTTAGCATTCATAGCAGGTGTTTCTGTTAGGATCCTGGAGAGATCCTAAGACGGAAGAAGACAGCCCGGTAGTGTAATGGCAGTACGTCCGACCGGTAATCGGAAGGTCTGGGGTTCAATTCCTCAGTCGGGCAGTGGTCTTTTTCCGTTCTGTCGTGATATAACATCTCGCTGGGTGATTACGGGGCGTAACAGTTTCTTTAAAATATCTTCACAAACATAGTGCATATCCCGTTTAAATGAATTAAAACGGTTTTCATGCTTATAGTGCACGAATTATTTTTTACCATAATATTTTTGTTTATTCTCGGTTTCAGTTGTTGGATTTGATATCTCGACTGGATTCTCGTCTGTTTGGTCGTTGCCAATATCGGCTGTTGTTGCACTTCGTGCCGCTTGTGATTGTCGGGCTGTTGGTAGACCTAATATTTTGTTAAGCATAGTGAAAAATTGGTTTTCATCGTCGACAAAAGGTAAGAATGGTGAGGTACAGTTATATTCAAAAAAGAATTTGTAAAATTCATTTTTAATAAATGTGGATGGATAACTAAAGAATGTATGATCAATGGAAATAATCTAAGTTATGCGATGTATGAGAGGGACTTACATTATATAGTAATGTTAATTTAATATAACGTCGTTCATAATTGAATGCTTGAAATGTCGATGAATATCGTATAGCATGTGTAAGAGAAGTTTTGATAATATTGGTGAAAACATGTCGAGGATGATGGGATATAAATGGTACAACATAAGGTTCGGCTGCTGGTTTATGATAAACGGATGTAAACAGAGTACCATTGTCATTTGTAAGAAGAACATCAAGAAATGGTAGAGTTTTATCAATTTTATAGCCTAATTCAACATTTGTGTGGTATTCATTTGCTTTACCTAATAATTTAATTAAGTCTTTTTCAGGTTTATTCCATGTCATAAAAATATCATCAATATATCTATGAAAATTCTAGTATCAAATTTACTTTTTATGTTCTATTACACGTACCTGCCATAATATTCACCTATCGTAGCTTGTTCATCAACAATTTTTTTTTGCCATTTCCACATGAAAATATTGGCTAATGTTAATGTAAATGATGATCCCATAGCATCACTAGTAGTTTGTTGATAAATTTTATTTTACCATAAGCAAATACATTTTCTTTAATTACAATGAAAGCTAATTTTCTTATTATATCAAGATTAATTCCTTTGACCTTTTTATAACCATGTGCATGAAGAAATTCCATAAGAGTATTCAATGCTTCGTCTTGTGGTAACATGGTATATAAATTATGAATATCAAATGTACAAAAAAGGGTTGTTGATTGAAAAAGACCTTTCTTGGTATATTCTGAAAGTTCTGTAATTAAATGAGCGCCATTAATAATAGTTGGTTTTTTACATTTATCGTCGAATATGGGTTGTAGTAGTTCATCTAAAAATTTTGAAATCTTTGTTGTTGGAGCACGAATAGTATTTTCAATTGGTCGAACTGGTATATCCACCTATAATCCAATAGAATGAAATAAACTCAAAATAATTATAAGAAATCTTTCCAATACCTTATGTGTTTTAGGATTAAAATACAAGTGAGCTAATTCAGCTTCTTCTCGATCAGGCATCATTTTTTTAAATTGCCATTGTAAAATAAATTTTTTTGATTGAAATTTATCAAGTAATTGGACGACTTTGCCGAATATTTCATTGAATGGATTATCAGATAATTCAATAAAAGCATTTGTATCGGAGAAAAATTTTTCTGCTTTCTTTTCAAATTCATTGGCTAAACCAATATAAAAATTATGGCCCTTATCAGTAATACGAATGATAAGACCCATGTTTTTAATTATTTGTCCAATTGATGCGACGATTTGTGCTTGTTCAAGAGTTTGAAGTTGATCTTTATATGATAATGGTGTACAATAACAATGATTAAAATAATCAAGAAGATGGGCTGAATATTGATCGAAAATTGGTTTTGTTCGTGGTATACAATGAGGATACTCAACGAGATGATTTTTAATCTTTGTGTAAATATCTTTATGTTCATCTTTCACTTCAGCTACTTGTTATTTATGAGGACGAATGGCACTTTGATTTAATGTTATACAAGATGGACCTAAAATAAATTTAAATATAAAATAATCAATCTATGACATTCGAGAAGAATATCTTACCACATGAAAGATGGTTCTATTGATGTGTATCAAATGGATTGAACATTAGATCGAGGTATGGTTCAGGAGAGATATCAATAGTAGTTTTTGTTGATGATGAACGTTGACAATTTTTAAGTATTATTCTTCGAAAATGTGACATTTCATCATAAATCTCTTTTTTTAATCTATTTATTCGACAATTGATATATCCGTTAATATGATTGAAAAGAGATGAATTATTAATCGAAGTATTATTCAATAATTGTGATTCCAATTTAATAAATTCACATCGATATTGTTGTTCATATTCGTTTATTTTAGTTTCATTGGTATTAAAAAAATAATTTAACCAGATACGTTTTCCTTCATGTATAATTTTATAACGTTTATTTTTCACTTCAATACTGTTTTGATTATTGTTCAATGGTAAATAAGTAAGAGGTGAAATGAAATTTTCCAAATGATCGAAATTTTGTGTTAAAAATTTACAATGAATTCGTATTTCTAAGATAAGTTGTTCTTTCCAAGTTCCGGCTTGTTTTTCTCGTGTTGTAATTAATCGATTTAAATATTCATTCTAAAAGCGTATTATTTGATAACAAAATATCTATTCTATTAGAAATTATATAAATTTACTTGTTGATTATTTAGCAGGGGCGAAGTAGATATGGTTTTAAATAGATCTTTTTCATAAATATCATCTTTAAATTTGAACAATTCATCATTGTTTCTCATTGATAAATATTTTCGTTCACTATCTGTTTAAGACATTGTTCAATTTGATTAAATGATAATGTTGCATTTGGTATTGGACATGATTGAGAATGTTTGGTCAATACCATTCGACATTGATTCAATTGCTTTTGTTTATTCTGTATATAAACCATAAGATATTCTTTACATCGTTGGAAATCATCTGTATTTGCCATTGTATATAACTGATCCTTGATTTTTTAAGACGAAAAAAAATCGTATAAGAATCACTTAGAAAAAAGTAAACTTGCTGGCCATATATGATGTTGTAAATCAATATCTAAATATGATTGCCATAATTGTTGATCCATTTCTAGACAGTATTGTTGATCTAATAGTTCAAGTTGTTCATATATAAATATTTGTTCTTCTTTTTTTCTTGAATGTATAATTTAATGAAGAATTTAACATTTGATAAAGTATGAATGATGATCGTGTCAAATACATAGGTCGTCTAAAAATAAAATTATATAGAATGAATAATCCTACTATACAAATTTAAAAACATACCGATAATCTGTATTAGTATTATTCATTTCTATCATTCGATGAATCATGACTGTTGTTGTTGTCATATTTTTCCTTTTTTGTCGATGATGATAGACCAGTACATAATTGACTCATTGATTTTCTCATTGTATCATGTGCTGTTGATGATTTTTTTAATTTTCTGGAGAACGGTTTGTGAGAGAAGTTGAAATCTTTGAGAGCGGACAGATCTTCAGGAATAGATATATCGTCTTCTGATGCGGTCTTTTATGGAATATTCAAATCACGATTAGTGAAAGTGGGACGACTCTTACTTAGCTCTCTGTCTCCTAGATATTATGTTCGAAAGAAATGAACTTTTTTCGTACGGATGTTCAACAGTAATTGCGATAGGTAGACTTTTTGCTTTCATTGTATCTTTTGTCGTTAGAAGAATAGAAGACAAAATATCGAGCACACTTTCTAAAGCGTTTGCTTTGTGACTACGAATAGTTTTTTAAAGAGCTATCAAAAATCAACAGAACAAGATTTTTTTGTAACAGAAAATTAAACCCATTCTAAATAATATAAACTCAAAGAATGTGGACTACCATACGACTAGTTCATTAAAATTTTGTTTCGGTCAATTTCTGCAGATGTATAGTGATTATTCTATTGTTTTTTCCATTAGGTATAGTTCTCGTTGGTTGTTTCTGACGATTTTGTTATCCTGTAATGATTGACTTATATCGTCACTTGTTTTTCTACTTTTTCATTGTGCTGCTCTCAAAACTGTACGTGTTTCTTTTAATGAGGATCATCCAAGCGATCCTGCATATATGATTGCTCATAGTGGAACGAAGTTGACATCACAGAGGAAAAGGCGCATTCCAGGATAGATCCGTATTCAAGATGATCCATCTTCTATATTCGCCGAAAACCATCTCAAAGCTAATCCATTTCTCGTTGCTTATGCGGAGTTTTTAATGATTTTATCGAAATACATGTGTCGCCTCTCACGGCAAAGTCGCGACGTGAGTCACGAAAAAAAGTCATGGCGTGAACGCGTAACGCGATCGCTATTGGACTCACGAAAAATGTCACGATTTTCGCGATCACTATAAACTTGCGATGAAAAGGGATTTTTCCAATCCAACCGTAAAACTCACGGCGTGACTTCCGCGGTCGCTGTGTGAGTCCCATGTTTTTCCCAATATTTGGAAGCGAGTCCTTATTCTCGCATTGTGACTCACGAAGTCGCGTCATGAGTCCCGTGTTTTATCAAAAATTCAGCGCGACTAGCTGTTGTCGCGACATGACTCCCACTGTCGCGACGTGACTAAGCAGGGACTCACGATTTTACTTCAGCAAGACGCCTATCGCGCCTTTCACTTACTCGCGCTTGTTTTTTTCGCCTGCTCCATGAAGTGCTTATTCGATTTGGAGTTTTCCTGTCTGAACAGGGCTTGTATGCAGGGTTTTTATTTATTTTTCAGGTTTTTTGGATGAAAAGAATTTTTTTAGGAGTTGTTTTTAGAGGTTTCTCTTTTCTCAAACTCATAATTCAGTTGCTCAACTCCGGTTCGACACAAAAGGTACTCGGCTGATCAGCTGCAAAGTTAATAGACCTGCTTGCGTCCTTTCCGTGCGAGTTTAATTTCCATAAGGCAACGCCTGCCGTACGTGAGGAACACATTCACGCTAGGAGTTTCATCTGGAATCCCAAGGAAGCTGACGCTAAATCCTGCTCGTTATCCTGTAGGATAACGAAACATTTGCGAGAATTTAAGGTCAAAAAGATGGCGTAATTCTGGTGGAGCTCTTGAATTCTAGTTTTACTGGAAGTCTGACAGCACCGTTGTACATAGCTGTAGTTCTTGATCGCACCATGTTTTACTCGGACTTTTCTTCAAGAACATTATGCGACTTTTTGAAGTTTACATCGATCCTACGATGCGTTCAGTACTCCATAATTTCTACCTAAAAGACATTTTTACTGAAGAGAACTAATGCGAAATCAAAGTAAGTACGCGGCAAAAATTTTGAAGATCAAGTTCCTCGTTTAAATTCTTCCGGCATATTTCTGTCGCGATGCTGAACTGTTTACTTTACTCTATTTCTGAAAAGTTAATCATGAGCTGTGATAACTTAAGTAAAAGAAATTTTCATTTGGAATGAAGTTTTCTGTCCTCTATGATTCAAAATCTGGTATCAAAATAAAGGTCAGAGAGGCTGATATCTTATGATTTTAACGTGAGCCTTACCAATAAGGTAACGTTTGCCGTATGTGAAGAAAACATTCACGCTTGAACTTTCCGAGAATGCGTATTCGTAAATACTAGACGCTAATTGTCAAAAGTAAAGTTCAAAATACTCTTCCTGATAATTTATTCAATTACATTGAAAATATACACCGTGACGTTTCAAACACATAGGTGTTCTTCATCAGACGAAAAGTTAGAAATGACTATCTGTACAAAAAATTTACAAAACTAACTTCTACTTTTCTTTTCTTTCCTTCTCTTTTTCTTCGTTTGACTTCTTTTTAATATTGATACGAATGAACAGGGCGATAACACTGAATGAGGAAACCACGTTTCTTCACTTCGTATCAATATTACCGCCCTGCTCTCTCCTACAGTTTCGTTTCTTCTTTAAATTTAATGTGTTTTCTAATCTGATCACCGTTTTTATTCATAATTGTCCTCCATTCTGCACTTAAATGATCATGTCGATTGATTGATTGAACAATTTCAGAGAAAACACTTTCTTTAATTTTTCTCTTACGATAGTCTGTCTCAACGTCAAGAATCATTGCCTTTTCTGGCTCAAATAAACATTGCCAGTTTTTTTGATGGTGGTGTTGGACAATTTCCGAATGTGTTTCTAAACTATCTTTTTCAATAAGGGAAGCGTGCTGCTTCATTCGATTTTGCAAACCGACTTTAGCCTCACCCACGTACGATGCTCCACACTCACAAGGAATTTCGTAAATAACTGATCTCGATGTCATCTTTTTGTTTGATGGCAGAAACGATGACAACTTCTTTCCATAAGAAAAATACAATTTTATTTTTAAACGTTCCAGTCTTCTCTTCAAAACTTCAATACCTGGATAATAAGGAAGTGCCATACTGAATTTCGTTTCTTCTTTTGGTTTTGGGAGAGTAGAACTTGTGGCTTGAGTTGAAGTATTTGGTTGCTCTCTTACACTTTCACGAATGAATTCTTCAACTTGTTTTGACGGGAAATTTGACTTCGCAAGCATTTCTCTCAATTTGTTTAAATCTTCCTGTTGGTCAGTCGCATCTTTAGTCGTAGTAATGATTCTTTTTGACATATTTTTCACAATGTTTTTCTTAACGGACTTTTGATGGCAACTCTGAAAATTGAGAAAACGATCACTCGCTGTCTCTTTTGGATACCATCTTAATTTAACTTGGTCATTGATAGTATTTCGACTGAGTGTTGTGTCTAGAAAATTCAGCTGTCCGTTGCTTTCATAATAATTCGTAATATTGATACGAAGTGAAGAAACGTGGTTTCCTCATTCAGTGTTATCGCCCTGTTCATTCGTATCAATATTAAAAAGAAGTCAAACGAAGAAAAAGAGAAGGAAAGAAAAGAAAAGTAGAAGTTAGTTTTGTAAATTTTTTGTACAGATAGTCATTTCTAACTTTTCGTCTGATGAAGAACACCTATGTGTTTGAAACGTCACGGTGTATATTTTCAATGTAATTGAATAAATTATCAGGAAGAGTATTTTGAACTTTACTTTTGACAATGTCTTCAACCTTCCTTAAACGCTCTGAACTAGACGCTAATATTAGTTCGTTGCTAGAGCCAATCTAGCATCCTGTGAATGAGGCGGAATGGCTTAGCCCCAATCCTCTCTGCGTCAAACAGGACCGAAATGATACTCGCTACATCCTGAAAGTCATCAACGACAAAGCGGTCTTACACCGAGGATACTCACGATTGCGATGACATCAACCTTTGATGCATTTCTCACTTTGGTGCATTTTTATTTTGAGACCCTGCGAAGTTAAAATATTTAGCGAAGTTGTACATAGCAGAAGTCCGTTTTGATACTCAAAATAGTTAAACAAAAAGACTTCAACTTTGTGACAACAAACGTGAAAAGGATTTATGCTCATTCATACTCCTTCGTTCATTAAAATTGCTGTGTACTTACTTTGTATATTACTTATTTTTTCATGTGCTTCCCTCTTGAAAAAGTGAAAAAAGCACATATAAACTGCAAAACAGTCGAGTGTAAATATAGTCTGCACACTATGCTAAGAAAATATGAAGTGTCTTGTATATAACGGACACTGTTTTTTTTGTATATCTCCTTTAAAATGAGAATAACAAAAACACATATCTTCAATCACACACGTGTCTATAGACACATAGTATATACTATTTATGTTATAAATAGAATGTGGACTATCTATTTGTATACGAAATATAGACTAAATTCTCACTTTGAAATAAGAGTAAAAGAATTCTTTTCCGTTCTTGCAATTCAAAAAGTACGAACTATATCCACCAATAAAATTCCGTGACTTGAGTAGCGTCGCGACTTTTTAAAACTCAGCTAGATTGTCCTGCAATAGCCGCAATTACTGTCGACATGAGTCGCGTCGCGAAATAGCAATATGATAGTGATTGCGCTAAGAAAAACTATACTGAATTCTTAAGAATGGAATCGATGCAGATTTGGAGTTCTGCCGCGAGATCGCGAGTGTGCAGCGATCACGCCATGACTTCGCGAGCATATAGCGATCGCGCTGTGACTATGAAATCGCGATTGGACTCCTACAAAATATTTTTTCTAAAAAACATGAGTTTACCAAGATCACGACGTGATAACGTGACTTTGTAGCGATCGCGAAGCGACAGCCATGGGTTTATCGTGATCGTGACATCATGATCGCGTGGACTTCACTGAGTTTGAAAATTTTCCCGTTCGCAGTAGAAACTTTTACTTTACGTCATATTTGCCGAGAAGTGCTAAAATAGAAAAGGAAAGGAAGAGAGCTTCACATGTGATCATTTGATATATTACAGATCAGAGGTGGGCGGAATGAAAATTTGGCTATTCCGTTCCGCCCGGTCTCTAGACTGCGTTATCCCGTCCCGTAAGAAATTTCAAAAATTTCATTTCACCTAGTTTCAAAATTTTCGTCTAGTTGCGTCATGTCAGTAGCTAAAACACTGTAGATTCATAGTTTAATGTCATTTCTTCTGTGTATTATTTGTTATTGTTATACAAAAATACTGAAACACATATGGAACAAATTCACTTTTTTATTTACACATGTGATCTAACTAGCAGAAATGGGGCGGGATGGAAATTTTCGCTATCCCGTCCCGTTCTGTCCCCTGCCTATTTCATCCCGACCCGCATATCTTTACCAGATAAAGCAGAACACGATATATAAGAATACTGTATAGACATTTGCGGACATTTGCCAAGAAGTGAAAAGATACACCTTATTTGATACGGCTCTAATAAAAGGCAAAGTAAAAAGAGAAAACTATATAGATAAAGAAAGAAAACAACTTAGACATAGCATTTGTGTAAGGATGGGAGACAAACCAGGTGGAGAAATAATGATGAATAGTCTCTTGAGTAGTGACGATGATAGCAACGTTTCTTAGAAATGATGATGGTTTTTCAATCATTGTTTTACGAAACAAAATCAGTCTATGGCGTTTGAAAACCTTGTTTAAGAATTCTCCAACCTAAACGTTGAAGAACTTTATCAGCTGAACTAGAATCATAGCCTCTGACATCGCTCTAGTTTTCGTATACTTAGTGAACTCCAGGCGAGCTAAATTCTTTCAGTCGTATTTCCATAAATGGGTGAATAATTCATAATTCAATTAAAAAAGATTGGATGATTTATACACAGATCGAACACTTGACGAGACAGCGCACATGAATATAGTTTTGAAGACCCATTAAATGACTTACTTTGTGTAAGACATAAGCAATGTGCGCCGACTAGATTTGATAATAAAACTCAGATGTTTGTTGTCAGTGACATATGGGATGGGGATATTGTTGACAGAGATTATAGGCAAGGAAATATGTTGAACAAGACGGGTGGAAAAAAACTTGGATTAATATTTATCAGCATTCAAATGACGTTTCTAAGCTATTGACCATTTACGAACGACGACTAACGAGGGAATCTTTCGCGGCGATAAATCGTTTTTGGACTCAGACTATTTTCATCATGTAGAGAATAGTGAACAGTGAAAAATCCCAAGTTGGTTTGGGCCCATGGGCCTTTTTGACCGAGATATGAGTTAATTAATGAAAATGTCATTAATAATAATTAATTAATAACTCACGACCTTGATCAGTTAGAAGTCTGAAACTTTCATCATTGATGATGATAGCTGTTGCCTACTTGCTGTGAGACTTTTAGGCTTATAAACCAAAACGTTCCCAAGATATGAATTTTTTATGGTTTAAGCAGTTTTTAGTGAAAATTCACCATTGAAAACCTAAAAAATTCACCCATGTAGCTAGGTGTCTAGTTTAAAATAAAACAAACTCGAACTCTCTAGCTGTAACATCTGATCGATGTTTTGAATCATCTGGTCTATTGGATTATATGAAATTTCATCGTATACCTTTGTCTTTTTCATGTACATATCAAGCGGAAATTAAAAGCCAACTTTCTTAGCCCCAGAAGGAACGAGCTCTAACTTTGCAGAAAACTTTCTTTGTTCTTCTATATAATAATAATGTTTGAATAAAGTGTCGAGGTCGTTTCGTTTTCAAAACGCCAGCAGATGGATGGTGCTAATGCAAAGTTATACAGAGTTGTGCAAGGTCTTATTTTGATCAGAAAAATTTGCTCTACAATCTACGCGTAAAAATTTAATTGCATAAGTATCCAGGACAAAACTATTATTTGAAGATCTGATTTTTCGGAGCTCCTACAAAACTTGCTCGAAAGCCTCAAAAAATTACTTCTGTAACCGAAAGTGATATGGATTCTGAAAGTAGATACGTCAAGCTATCTTTCCATGTGCTTTATCTCGGAATGAATTTTTGTCCAAGAATCATCATTTCTGAGGGGGGAGAGATCTTTAAATCGTTCATCACTACTCAAAAACATCCGTCCTGATCAAATACAATGTATCAGACTACTTTATTAAAGTAGAATTTCAGCATAGTTATCTGTCTCATATACACGTTCTTCTATGGGTTCCAAATCCCCTGCAAAGAAACAGTAGTAGGACAAAATGAAATAATTGAATTCATTGATTCGTTCTTAACGACTGATTTGCTCTGAAGAGATATCCATTACGTCATCGTCTCGTGCGGAAATTTCAAACACATTATCATACATTTACATGTAATACAGGTAGAGTTCTGCGTGATTGATTTTTTTGCTCACGATCGCGGTTGAAATGTAAGTTTTACGCACGATCACGGTTTTTTTTAAACAATGGCAACTACGATCACGATTACGATACTTTGCAAAGTTATAATCGCGATCACGATCACGTTCACGAACTTTTCACGATCATCTGTAAGAGTATTTTATTACACCAATATTCGATTGGATGAATAAAATATCGAATCCAAAAACAAAATTGAAGAGTTTTATTTTGTTTGTTCTTATCAAGAAAGGTTGTAATCGTGAAAGGAAGGTTTCTAACATATTTCGCAAAGGGTATTTTCTTCCTAATAAAATTATTTTCATTTATTCGTGACGTTTCGAATCACATCATTCTTTCTTTTTCTTTTTCTTTATAACAGTGGTACGGACAAAATGGCAATAGTCTGGTACGAGAAAATAGTAGAATTTTCTGTGTCCGTACTACTATTTTCTCGTACCAGACTATTGCCATTTTGTCCGTATCACTGTTATAAAGAAAAAGAAAAAGAAAGAATGATGTGATTCGAAACGTCACGAATAAATGAAAATAATTTTATTAGGAAGAAAATACCCTTTGCGAATTATCAAGAAAGGATATCGAAATTATATTTTTGAATAAATCAAATTTTGAACGTATACTCCACAATCGTGAATACGAAACTATTTAGTTTGGAACACGATCACAATCATAGAGAAAATGCTTTTGTCGCTCACGACCACGTTCACAATCATGAGAAACCGTCTGAATCACGTACGATCACGATCACGATCGTCCGTGATCGTGAAATTATCGATCACGCAGAACACTAAATACAGGTGAGCTTCGATAATAATATGTCAAAATATATAATATATACAGTATATATTCAACAATAAACACCGATACTATCTTCTGATACTGCTACCCATAACTGCAGGAGTCACTTCATACCGAATCCGCTGAACCCGTAAAAATAGTTCGAGACAATAGGATATGGAGCACGAAACAAGCCACGAGAAAGGTTCAAAAATCATAATACGCAACCTCAGCACCAAAGACAATGATATATATGAAGAAATGACACATACAGATAACCCAGATGAAACAGCCAAGCAACAAACACGGAAAGAATTCTTCGAACTTATACTATGCCGATTTGGATCTCTCCGTGAAACAGCACTTAGCACGCGTTTTAGAACCTATCACAAAAAAACAATTTAGAAATATCGAACTTCATACTCCTTTCAAATGAGCCAGTAAATTCTCTCTACCCCTATAGACCCTGACTACGCGAAAACAACAAAGACCTCTATTAGATCTTGTGAACAAGCACCTATTTTACCTTATGCAACATTCATCGAACCCAAAAGCAAAACTTCTTCCATTTTCGATGTAAACAGCCTTGCTGAATCTGGTAAAGGGTATACCTATCCAAATATTAATAGATTTAAACTATAATGATGACATTAAATTTAGGAAAATCATACTGTATACGGCAAATTGAACGAATGCTAAAAGACTTTTGTTTATCAGAAAAAACATGCAACAATGTTAGTGCACGCATAAGATGCGGTTTACTGAAAATAGCGTATACAGGCAGAGCTGCTGGAGACTACATGCAAATAAATCCACCGATGAAAATAAGTGTGGCGGTGTCCATCAAAAGATCCCTGTATTTGTGGGCGCTAAAATTGTTATCAGACGAAATATAGATTTTGATAACATGATAGTTAACGGAGCAGAGGGAATTATAACGAACATCGTGTGGGAAAACAGTCAATTCACATCACAGCAGGCCGGATATATGGGAAGTTATTCAAATATGGCCAAATATCCAAAATATGTCACAGGTCGCAAGTACATATAATTAAACTGTTGTATTAAAAGCAAAAAAAATTGCTTCAAAAATCAAAGAGATTTTATTTCGTGGACGGAGATTATCACTATTTAAAAGTCTTTTTATCAAAAAAATCATTAAAAGTATTTTCTGAATCTGCATCCGTCAGTACTGTATCAGATTGTCTGTTGCGTCAACACTAGTTTTTAAAGGAGTAAACTGCTTCTTTTGAACCTACTAAAGATTTCGACTCAATGATCTGATACCAAATATCGTTACTCTTATAGTAAACATTATAATCATTAAACCTTTTAAATTAGCGAGCTTTGATGATAATTCGCATAAAATTTTATTTACAATAGGCGGCAAAACAGAATCGCATAGCAACGTTTCGTTCTTCAGTCAGATCTATACATCACTGCAAATGTATATCAAATTATTGATTCAATTCAATATGATGGTACATACTTTGTGGTAAATATCCATCAATTTTTGGCAAGCTGTTTTTGTTATTCGTGGTGAAGAAAACTCCTTTTCTCCTATAGTACTAAGCTGAAAAATCTCGACGTACATATTGATTTCTGGTGTTGGTCGTGAACAGTCTCTTACAAGATCTTCCAAAAAAGTGTAAATTTACCAGTGTTGAATGTTCTTGTTAGGTCAAACTCGAGTCTTTCAGCCTCTAAAGTCGCAAAATCAAGTTTACTCTTTAGACTTTATTCAACAGTCATATAGCAGATATCCAGCGTCATTTTAAAACAGTAAAAATAAATATAAAAATAACATTTTTGTTCGAATCAACTTCTTTTCAACTGACAGTATTACTGAAGAAAAAGTGGTTTAACAGCTATCAATTAGCTGTCAAAAAGAGCAATAGAAAGAAAACTGCATCTCTTGATTGAATGAGCGATTTTGTAGTCCAATTTGAGGAAATACATGATTCTTGAATAAAAGTGATATGATTCACTTTGCTTGAAATGTGATGTTTACAAAATTCCTCGATTGGCTAACATCCAAACCGTCAGCATTAGCCAAATTTGTTCTCAATACTTCTAATAACCTTCTCCAACTTGCTGATCGTTTTTTTTAATAATCTTACCAATACAACACTTTTTGCCCTGTACTGTATCGACGGTGAAGCGCGAGACAATTGATATTGTGGAAAATGTATTTGTTTTTCATTAGGATTGTTCGATGACCATTGAGTAGAATAGGAAGAAAGAATGTTTCGAATTTGACATATAACATCACGTCTCAAATCATTATGAATGTCTCTGAAACATTTATCCAAGTACTCTCCAAATGTTCTTCTGGGTCCCGAATCTGGATCTATCCATTGGAATCCATCAATTCCTGTTAAACTCTGCCCGTGTGTAATTAATGCTTCGATGGTGTTGTAAAACAATAACATTGTATCATGCATATCGCTTGTTATTTCAATAAGAAACTCCTTCAGATAAAAGAACGATGAAACTCAGTTTATTATTCGGGTGACACTATAACTAGTGGCGTAACTACAAAGGGAGCAGAGCCCCCTCTGGAAAAAATTCTTTATGTGGTAGTTTCTTAGTGTTTCTATGAATTTCAAATTCGAATTTGAAATGAACGTCTAGAAGTAGAAAACTAGTCATAATCTTCGTACAATATTCGATATGTTTTCTTCAAGGAAGACATTTTGAAATCGATTTTGAAAAAGTCGTTGCAACGTTTGCTAGTTTGCATAAGGATAGTAGAATGAAGTTCAAATCAACAAGTATTTTGTAGTGAAAGAGTTTTAAAGTAAGAAGAAAATGTTCTAAGTTTTTGAAATAAATCGAACTTGATTACGTTCTTTTCTAACGGTTCACTTTGAAAACATTTCAGAAAATTCACACTACCCCTGATAGTGTTTAAAACATTTTCTGACCCAACATTCTCAGCTCCCTCTGGATCGAAATTCTTGTTACGCCACTAACTACAGCAGAGATCCCAACGAGAACTTTCTGTCCAACTTGTGCGGGTCTCTACACCGGCGAACTTACTTTGGCAATATTGTTCTCTTGAGCAAAACGATGAGACCATACTGATCTTGGCATTTGATTTTGATCAGTTACCTGCCTTATTACGTAATCAATAAGCGAAGAGAATGTACTGGTCGTTCTAATGCTACTAATCTGAAAAAGATAAATACCAACTTTCGATTCATCAATGTATGCATTTCATCAATCTTTTGCACTTACCACCTGATTCTCAATAGAGTGTACCGTTCGATTCACTTTGATTAAGGCATTACGAATTTTATGTAATTCATCTTTAATACATGATGTTTCGTCGATAACACACAATTGATCAGTTTCCTTCTGCACTGGTTTTGTTTCAGTTGAACGAAAGATCATCAAAATCAAGATTATACTTGTAAATAAACACAATTCTAGAAAAGCAATAAAAAAAGATTGTTAAAGTAGAGTAGTCTATGAATGAAGATGTGAAATTTGAGGTTGTTTGTACACTTAAATTTCTTTTAGAATTACGTTATGCTGAAACTACTCCATTGGCATAAAACGTTAACTTGACGAAAGTAGTGGCGCTTCTAAAATGACAACAAGTCCTTTCGCACAGAGACGCATAATGGGATCAATGAGATAAATATCGGATGAACCTATGTTTTTCTGGTATAAACTTTATCGGCTCCTTGTACTTCTGAATAGCTGAGTAGGGTTTATATTCATCGGACATAGAACTCCCCAACTAAAGTAATTGTTGCAGAAAACTGAAAGCGTCCGGTATTTTATTGATTTAAAACTTTCTTAGAGCATAATTGTCAGTGGTTCGTGTGCTATTTTTTCTTTTTTAGTTGTGGGTTTCATGTGTTTGATGAAATAAATTTCAGTTCAGTTCAGTGTGCGATTAGACTTCCTAATCTATGAAGTGATATAATTTATTATGAAAGAGAAAAAAATCAACTAGAACTGAAAAAAAAACATCTCCTCACATCTTTTTTTTCATCTTCTTTTAACTTATTTCATTCCTGTTTAACTGTCGACAACGTTCAGCTGTTGTCTATCCCTTTCGTCTCTTACATAACACAGGTGAGAAAACTAAGCGGTCTGCATAAAACTGCTCGTTCTTATTTTCTATCAAAGCTACTAAAGTACTGGCAACAATCATTTCCAGAAATTATCATTCGGTCAAGAGTTAGAGTGGCAGACAAAACGTTAAGCGATTTTTCATTACTTTTCGTTTACTCTACAATAAACGGTTTTTTGATGGTTTGTAAGTGTCGGAAAAGGGCCAATTAGAAAAAGGTACTCGTTAGCAACAAGTCTGAATAGAAAGAAAGGCTAAAAAATGGGTTTTGCCACGATCTTCAACTTTTTAAAAAACCGAGAGATTTAAATTTTAAAAATTCAGTTTCGCGTTCCGTCAACTTGAACAGCACTTTCAACTATACCACTGGCACGAGCATGAAAAACTGCATATAGTGCTATAATTTCATCTATTTCTGGCATATTTTAACCATTTACTGGCAAGTTTTCCGAAAATTAAATTCTATAGAAAACTTGTTAGAGGCTTTTCCGTTAAGGAAAAACCCATGCTAAAAGTGTATTCTGCACTTGATCTGAAAGGCTACAACTTCCTCTACAAAACAACTCCGAGCTCTGTAGCAGGGGTGTAACGGGTATCAAAAATGCGAAACTGATACCGGTCACCAGTATACAAACTTCGTACCGGTACCGGCCAGTATACCGATGACCGGTTTACCAGTCGGTACCGGTTTGCCTTGATTATGTTTTGCCTAAATACAAATAGTTTTTCAAAATCAGTTGTAAATCAATATTTACAAGTAAACTTACAAATCCTTGAAATTTTAGCTTTATCTGAATATCTGTAGATGACAACTTATCAGTGTCCATTTTTTTAAAATTAAGTTATAATCATGTTTCATACATGTGAAGAAGTGTTAATGTTCACCGAAAAAACTGATTATTCTTCATTTGATCAATTACTTATGCTATCAGCGGAATAGATTAATCTTTTCACTTTGATTATCTATAGTTGATTGTTCACGCGCTTTTGTTAAACAAAACGAGTAATCCAATTCAGTTTTTTAAATTAAGAAGTTTATATTAGCCGACAAAGTTTAAATAATTGGAATGAAATTTTAGTGGAAGAAATATGTCACAGATGAGCTGATGTCGATACACTGGTCAGCATTATAATTCATACCTACCGGTACCGGTCCTCTGCTCTGTAGGACGAAGCCTTAAGACTTTGGACTTTTTATTACAAGTATCATGTTTCTTGGCGAAAATCCGCACTAAACAGATGTATCTAAAGAAAAATGAGTGACCGTCCTAATGCTTGCTCCTACAGAGCTCGGAGACGTCTTGCCACTTTAACATCAGTACTTCGGTAGTGTACTGGTACTGTCGCATGCCGAAACATATTATAAGGAAATGTCCCGCTTCACAAACAGAAAGTAGGGAAGAAATACTAAATATGTCGGGAAACGAAGTAGAAAAAAAGCTTTTGTACGTACTTGTTGTTACGGAACACATGTTGTTGTTGTTAATTGAACAAATTAAATATGAATGGAATGACAACCAATATTTTCAGCGATCAACGCCTTTTAAATACAGAGTTTAAAACACGTACTGGAAAATTACATAGAATTGAATCTATGACGCAGGATATGTGTACATATTGGCAAATACCCGACATGCTAAGAGTAAAAGCAAACACCTTCTTATGGATAATGACGTATATCTAACACTGAACATCTGCTATATAGCTTTCAGAGAAAAACCACGCGTTTAAATCGTTTTTGACAGCTTTACTGCTGATAGATTTATTTCATGTCTCATGACGCAATAGAATTTTCTGATGTAATAGTTCAATTTGATCATAAACAATGACTGAGTATACCTGTGCCATTCCTTCTTCCTCTTTCTGTTCTGTTCAGATTTCATTCATGGTATAAGCAATACCAATATTATTTGTTGAAATATAATTTTAGTAAAGCTAATAATAATAATCGTATGCACACAACAATCATTGATCTCCTTCACCCTTACAGTGTTCAACAGATGTTCACAAGAACAGAAAGAAAAAGGACGAATAGTGACTGGATAGTGAAAAGTGTAAAATAGAAAGAAAAAAGAAAGAACTGAATGGATGGCTGTTTCATGATTGAGACCACTTTTTTTTAATGACTATTAATCAGATTTAAAAAGTGATCTCAATCTGGAAGTGAAAATTTTATAGTAGAAAAAGCGGTCTCAATTTGGAATATATATATTCTTTCGTTTCTTATACAAATAAAATGTGATCTCAATTTGGAATAGAAAGTTTGTTCTTTTCACATACTTTGTACACTGTTTATAATTTCGAATCACTCTGTAATTGGGAATGACTGACTACTGTAGGCAGAGAAGGGATACCATGAATTTCCCCGTCGTATACTTTCACAGTAGACTTTGGATAGTGCCGAAAGTTGTGTTTTCATCGGACTTTGGGCGTATCCGAAGTCGGAATTTTGGCAATTTGCCGAAAGTATTGTTGGAGTCATAGAACTCAATAATTAGCCATGTTTGCCATGTTGTCAACCACCTATAACATCGTCATCGACTATAAAACTGTCATGCTGCAAACAAAACTTTCGCTGTAATCAGAGTCGGAACTTCGACAATTTGTTCAGTTTTCATCGAGAGTAATTTTTAGTCTAACGAGGGACCTCTCGAAGTGATAAAAAGCTTTTGAACTCGGACTACTTTTATCTTGTAGACCTTAGTGAGTAGTGAAATACCCTAAGTTGGTTCGAGCCCTTACTGCTTTGAGAGGGAGTTATGACCAATTTACTGGTTTTTTGACCTATGACACCATCTGAGTAGCAGCAGTAAATGGGTGACTTTGGATCTGAAATTTTATCCATAAAGAGATCTTATGAACACTAGCATATCCTGAAAGTTTCACTCAAAACAAATGCATACGTCCTGAGATAATGAATTTCTAAAAAACGACTGTTTTCCATGATAAATTTTAATTTCGTGCAAGAAATCGCTGTTTTTTGAAAATCCATTATCTCAGGACGTATGCATTTGTTTGAGTGAAACTTTCAGGATATGCTAGTGTTCATAAGATCTCTTTATGGATAAAATTTCAGATCCAAAGCCACCCATTTACTGCTGCTACTCAGATGGTGTCATAGGTCAAAAAACCAGTAAATTGGTCATAACTCCCTCTCAAAGCAGTAAGGGCACAAACCAACTTAGGGTATTTCACTACTCACTAAGGTCTACAAGATAAAAGTAGTCCGAGTCCAAAAGCTTTTTATCACCCCGAGAGGTTCCCTCGTAAGACATGACTTTCGACAATTGCCGAAAGTCCACTGCGAAAGTGTACCACGGCGAATTTTGTGCTGCCCCATAGATGCTGGTTGAAATATTTTTCAAAACTGATGCTTGAAACTAAATTGTCGGGTGAGACTATAAAAATGAAGAGCAGCACTACCGTGGAATACAATATCTCAATTCGATTTGCTCTATTAGGTCTATAACTCTACCTTTTTCCCGTACCAAAACACTCAATTGGCCAAATTGCGACAAAATCTAACAAAATTCTCGAACATTTGGCAAAGGTCTGCTGTGTTTTTTGCAAAATGTGTGATGATTGCGAGAATATTCTTGCAGAATCCTGTTACGAGTAGCTCGAATACAATACTTAAGTTCCGGCTTAATTTGACTGAGCTAAAGCAAAAATACGGTGTTTTACACAATTGGAAAATCTTACTTCCTGAGTATTTTACGTTTCCTAACCTAACCAAGAGAATTGCGCGAAAAAAATTCAAAAACACATCATTCGATAGAAAAGTTTACGACCTATCCGTCGCTGATCAAACTTTCAGCTTTTGAGCGTGTCTTCACCGCCAAAATCTTGTTTTAGTTAGACCGGAGAAATCGAGGTTTTTCCATTTTTCGGACCAGCTCTAACTAAAAGAAGTTTTTGGCGATAAAGACATGCTCAAAGCTGAAAGTTTGCTGAACTAAAAGAGTACTGTGGTATTAATGTTAATAAATGGTATCAGATAGCTGACTGGAGAATAAGGTAAAATAAAGTTTCATTTACTTTTACTTCTTTTAAAATTCTTACGTTTATTCTTTTTATTCTTCTTGTAGACCATTGCCAAATGAGTATCTTCATTATGCAATGAAAGACACATTATTTGTTTTATATTTATGATTTATTAAAAAATCGTCTATTAGAAGTGGAAAAAATTCAACCAAATATAGTTAGAAATTTTATTAGTCAATGTCAGAAATTATGTGCAAAAGTAAGCAAATAAGACAGCGACAATTTTAAAGAAACTACTTTTTGTTTTTTCTGCCAGCTTTCATTTCTTTATTTTCTTTCTGATAGACGTACAATTCTCTGCATTTCGATCCTGACGGATTTAAAAATGTTTTGAGAGCATTTAAAAAGAGTTTTAGTGAAAACCAAGCTAAAGTTTTAAAACAGTTGTATTTATGGAGAGATGAAATTGTCAGACGCGACGACGAATCGACTGGGTCTCCTAACTAAAGCAAGCAGTCTCATTTTATTTTTCGATTTTTTGTTTAGATATGTTTTATCAAATCGAATCATGATATAAATTGTAGAAGAATGTCCGCTGTATGTTTTCTCACATTTTCTCGTTTATTAATCTAGCCTCCCTCCCTATCTCTTTTTTTTTTATGTTCTAGTGATGTTAGACGTTTTGCAAATTTTAATTTATTATCTTCATTGGTTCAAAATAATTTTGAAAAGTCAAATGGAATAATCCGCAAATTCGAAAGTCGAGCAGAGAAATAGATTTATCCGTGCATCAGTGTCACTATAGTACATGCACTTCGACGACAGCCCACATACCAAAGACACAAAACGATTCTGAGTTTTTTGGCAGAAGCCACTTTTCACGTGAAAGCATCGTTTTTAGAAAATTGTTTTTTAGGGTGTGGTGTTTTATCGGCAACATTTAAAATTCAAAAGGTACTTTAAATACACTATTTTGTACAGAACTGAATGGCCTCACAAGATTGGATATGATTTTGTTTGTTCTAATAATTGTTGTACTTCATCTTCATTTCTCAGTTCAACATTTAGTTTTGTTTTTTGTTGAAAAGTGCGAAAAATTTAATCCCGACGCACAGGACACGGTCAAAATTCGTCCAAATACTTTTTCGGGACTTTTAGTGCTTGCTATTTACCAGCTAAATGTAATAGAAAAAATCAAAACACAGGGTTCAACAGAGTCTTGAACGGCAATTCCGAATCACCTATTTTTTGTCCTGAAAAAGCTTTTTAAGAGGAAAATGAGCAAATATTTTGAGTCCACCCGTTAGTAAGGCAAACGATAGATGCTACAGCTCTTTTATTGAAAAATAACCTTAACACAACAATAAACAAATAAACAAACATTCAAAACTGTTTAAACCTAACTGATCAAACAAATGATCATTTGTTTGTTTTCGTACACACGAGAATACCGTTCATTCTTGTTCATCTTTTCGGAGAACAAGTGTTGTTTACGAATGTGACAAGGTTGGATATGCTTTTGTTTGTTCTAATAATTGTTGTACTTCATCTTCATTTCTCAATTCAACATTTAATTTTGTTTTGCTCCGATTACAATTAATATTAATTGTTACTCGGAATCTCATTTTGTCGATCCATTCCATTCAAGCACAAAATACTTTGCAAAAGTCGATATGTCGTGATCTTTTCGAGATATATAAAAATGATTGTGAATCTCGTAAACTGTCGGTTCTGCTCTATATGCTTCTCCGTGTCACTGGTCAAACTTGGCGATCTTGCGATGATATTCTTGATAAGATTGGTGCATTTCGCACACTGCCCACAAATGTCCAAGGTTTTCGTA